AAGAAAATAAAAACACTTTAAAATGATTTTCTTCTTATAAGTGTAAAAAATAAAATCAAAGACAAAGAAAAAACAACAGAAAAGTTTTTTTTTCACCAGGGTGACCCCTACAACTTTATTACACTATTACTGTAGGTTTTACTTTAGTTTTACTGTAAAATGAAACAGCAACTACTGTATCTAATTTTACATTAGTTTTACTGTTAAAAACAACACAGTAACTACTGTATTTTGTTTTACAGTAGTTTTACTGTAAAATCAAATACAGTAGCTACTGAATGTATTTACAGTAAAACTACTGTAAAAAATATACAGTAAGTTACTGGATAAAAATTGCCACTAAGTTACTGTAAATCTAACAATAAATGTTTACAGTGTACGTATTTAACTACATATGGCATGTTGTTGTATCATTTAACTAAAACCATGACATGCCATAATAAAGAATGCCAGGCTGGTTTGCCATGTAATTTAAATTATATGGCATGCAATTATATCATGTAATAAAAAAATGTCATGCTGTTGTATCAAATAATCAAAAAATACAATTTTTCTTTTAGTTTCAAGTCATTTTTCAATTTCAAATCTTTTTTATTTTCAGTTTTAAACTACATTTTTAACAAACTTTTTGGTCCCAGTTTAGCTCTGTAGTCTTGATGGATCAAAGTGAATTATAGATCCAGTCACAGCCAAGACTAAAATATAAAAAATAAACTAAAAAAACCAGTTCTTTCACCGTAATAGAACCCATGTGGTTCTGTTCAGGTGGCCCGTCAGTCCCAGCTGTTGAGAGGAGTGTTTCCCGCCCTCTTCCATCCTCTGCCTGCTCCGGTTTGGGCCGATGATGTCGACAACAGAGTCAACTTTGGAATGGAAATAGGTTGGTTCATTTGTCTGACTTTACCTAAAAAATAAACATTTTATTTTTAAATTAACACGTATTGTTTTCTGTCGAACAGGGAAAGCCAGAGGATTTTTCAAGCCGGGCGACATGGTGATTGTGGTGACGGGCTGGATCCCAGGGTCCGGTCACACCAACATCATGCGGGCAGTTAATGTCTGGTGAACACAGGGGTCCTCTGAGTCCTGGACCGGTCTCCAGTCATTAATGAATGTGATCATGTGAAAAACTCTGAGATTAAACTGATAAACTCTGAAACATTCAGGCTGCTGCAACTTGTTGAATTTTCTTAAACATGATGACTCCCTAATAAAACTTGAAGCACTACAGTGTCTCTGTTTGTCTTCTTTGTTGTCGGGACTAATTCATCACAAACTGAACCATCCAGCGTTTTCTTTTCTTCTCTAATAAGGAAATTTAGTTTGTTTGATTGCATTGTTTTAAATCAAAGTACTTTCTATTTTAGCCATTTGTATCAAAATGTTCAACTTGACAGAGAACAGTGGATTTTAGTCTTTCTAATATTTATAACTTTTGACATTTGACCTTACAAATTTTTTCCCATTTTTTAAATTCCTTGCATTGTTTTCTGAAATCTACTTCATCAGATGTGCTCTATTTTTTGTCCTGCTTTTAGCAGCTGTCTCGCTAATTTTATCTTTTAGCTACTACTTTTTTGCCATTTTGACGTGTTTAATTTTAGCTGTGGGTTTTCCTATATTTACCTTTTGAACTGATATGCTAAATATTCACACTCCAAAAACAGATGCAGTGGATTTACTTTAAAAAATGGTTCCTCTTAACTGAATTAAACAACACATTTCCTTTATGTCTTAATATTTCAATTTCAATTATTTTCTTCATTTTATTAAAACAAAACAAATGATCTTATGTACAATATACATGAAAAGAAAAATATAAAAAATACACTTTACTCTGTGCATTTGAGTGGAACCAGTTGACACAATCTTTTTAAAGGCTGACTAATAAGTTATTAATGTTTTGCCTGGTAAAATAAAGGATAGATAGATACGTAGATAGATAGTAGGGGTGCAACATGTACCCGTATCGAACCGTATCAAACAGTACTTTAGGTTCAATACACACTTGTATGGAACAATACAGATTTTTAAAAATTATTTTATCAACTTGTCTTCTGAAGATGATCTGTGTTGAAGGATCAGTGGATCTGTGTTCGACTACTCCACCTAGGCTGCATTTTTGAGCGCAGATCCACTGAGAAACTTGATGTTTCAGCAACATTTAATTTAAAAACTGTACTTTTGAGGTTAAACAAATGTTCATAATTAATTTAAATAAATTACAGGTTAAAAGGGGCATGGACATTTCTCTTTTTTTTGTATCGAAAAAATATCGAACCGTGAGATTCAAGTATCCAACCAAACTGAATCGTGAATTTTCTGTATCGTTGCAGCCCTAATAGATAGATAAAAATAAATATAATTCCACATAATATTTTTTGAGTGCAGCTTTGTGTTCAACCTGCATGTTCACACACAAAACTACTTTTCTGTGTCGTCCTGAGGATCTCATGGCTGCACTATGAGAATTAGCAATAAATTATAATGAGATGTCTTCAGAGGAGACAGGTCATCATTTTCAAAAACAGCTGCAGAAGAATGAAAACTAAAGAACAGCCAGGCTCAGCTGAAGTTTCATCCCTCCTCTCTCCTGACATTGGTGAGAAGTGATGACGCGCAAGTCGTACCTGAGAGATGTCTCCGTGTCCGGGCGCGCGGCATTGAAGAGGAGGAGGAGGAGGAGGAGGGGGATGATGGGGATGCGGATGCCATGGTAACAAGCCGCTTGCATCCAGCCCTTTAGATGCGCATTTATTTATTTATTTAGCACTTGACTCGGACGCGCCTCTCCGCGCGCTCCTCTGAGCGGGAAAAGAAGTGAACTTCCATTCAGCTCTTCAGCGGAGGAGCTTCAACAAGTTGTTTCATCCGTTTAAACCGGGAGGACGCTGTTCATGGGGAGGGGAACAGTGAGGAAGTAGCTTCCATCAGTCTGACGTGAAGCCGCGCGCCTTCCATCATCATCATCACGGTTCCGCTCGGATTCCGAACAGGACCACATGTGGACTTAACATCTGGGGAACAAGTCGACTTATGTCTCGTGCGCAATCCTTTTTCCCCCCTCTTTTGCACAATAATTTGCTGTTTGGATGCGTCTAGGTGTCTAGAATTGCGCGTCTCGACTCGCGCGCCCACAATGACCTGAATGGATGAGTGAGGACCAGTCGTCCTTGTCATTTCTCCGATGTAAACGTGATCATCCCTCCACCTCTGCGCCGACCCGAGCCGCCACAAACGCCGGAGACGCGACGGGAAAGAAGCCTGAACTGAGTGAGAAGAATAAAAATAAAAATAAAAATAAAAGATCCGGCAGCTCCGACCAATGAGCGTCGAGCGACGTTCTCCACAACAGACCGAGGAGCCGGTGCCAAACATGACCGGCGCTGGAGCGTCGAGGGCGGCCGCGGTGGAGGGGAGAGGGAGGGCCTCGGGCGGAGAGCTGCGTTTCAAGGACGAGGAAGGAGGAAGGGTGCGGGGCCATTTGTGAGGACAAAAAACCCCTGACTCCTGGAAGGAAAAAAAAAAGAGTGCTGCTTAGTGACAGGGGGATGAAGAGGGGGGGCTTTTCCAAGGGCACTGAGGTAAGGATGGCTACAGACTTTCCTGTTGCTTTTTCCAGCAACTGATGATGACATCTTCATCCATGTAGGATAATCTGTCCAGGTGAGATTATTAATCAGCTGCTCTCCTGAAGGGCTCACATCCTACAGGTCACACCCTCCTCCCTGAGCTGGGATGGATGGGGGTGTGGGCACCCCTGGTAGTACGGGGGGCTCTGGAGGAGACAGCCTGCCCAGGCGGACTGACGGGGACTCGAAGCGGCGCAGTAAAGGCAGCCTGCCGTCCCCAGGATACAGACTGTCCCAGGCGTCCCTGGAGGGAGACAGCGCCTCGTCAGGTGGACGTGGCGGTCGTCGCCTGTCCATCATGAGTTCCTCTGCCAGGGACGGCCTCCCCTTCCGCTCGGCGGGCACCCCGACCACGCCGGTGCCCCTGCCTCTGCCCCCGCCGTCCTCCTCCTCCTCGGCCCACCCTCCTCCACGCTCCGTGGGCTTCGCCACGTCCCGCGCCACCCTGGCCTCCACCTCCTCCTCCACCGGGACCGGGGTCATGGTGGTGGCGACCGGCGCGGAGACCACCACCACGGCCTGCAACACCACCGCGGCGGGGACCCCCGAGACCACGGGTCCGTCCGGGCTGGGCGGGTTCGGCATGAGCCTGGACGGAGAGGACTACAGCAACTCCAACCAGAGCACCTTCATCCAGAGGCAGTTTGGAGCCATGCTTCAGCCGGGGGTCAACAAGTTCAGCCTGCGGATGTTTGGATCCCACAAAGCTGTGGCCTTGGAGCAGGAGAGACTGAAATCAGCCGGAGCCTGGATCATACACCCCTACAGTGACTTCAGGTCAGAGCAATTCAAACAGACTTACAGCACGCAACCGAGTCAATTAAGACACGTGTGCCTCTTTTCTATGGTGTAGTGTCGGAACGGTCGGTGAAGGTACGGGTCGGACCGGTTGGTTTTCCACTGATGTTCCAGTCCGGTTCCAATAGGTGTGTTTTGGGCGGTTAGTGGAGGTGGTTTTTAGGTTTTTTGTAAAAAAGTTAATGGGCAAAATGAGAGATGGAAACACATTTGATGAATAACTTTTGAAATTTTAACAATTTGCAAAAATTTAGCCAATCAGTGACGAACAGTGTTCTGACGTCGCATTTTGGTGTCAGCTGGAGCTGCTTGGAACCACAATGAAGTAGGTACTAAAAAAAGGGCCGGTTCCATGAATCTGACCTAATGGAAATGGCTTGGAACCGTACCAAACCGTACCGACACTACACTAAGTGGCACTAGTGGAAAAGGGGCATTAGAGCGTCAAACACACATACAGTATATGAATATATTACTTGAATTCGCTCACTTGAAACTAACTTATAGGCACTGAACCAACCCATTCTCACTCCCAAGTCGTCACATATTGACGGTTTTCCAAAGTTCCCTCTGCGTCCGATTTTGACGCGTCGGGTACCCCCCTTTCGTCATTTTTTGACGAGATGGGGCAGAATCTGTTGTCATAATTTCTGAAAGTGTAGAAAATGCACAAAAACTACCGTTCCAAAGCCTAAAATTACCTTTATTCACTTTAGACATCATGTCCCTGACCCTAGTACCTAAAATTAACCATTAACCCTGATACCTAAAATTAACCATTCTTAGAAAAAACGTAGGAAATTCACGTCAACTACGTGTTCCAAAGCCTAAAGCGGTGCTGGCTCTAGCCATTTTTGTGCCTTAGGCGAGTTGAAACGCAACCCCCGGTGCGAGTTGTATGGACTTTTTTTTTTGCAAAATTTACACATTTTTGAGGCCTTTTGTCCAGGTAAACATCCGAAGAGGTTCACATGTATGGGACAACAAAATACAGACTTGTTATTGAGTTTGTCAACATGAACCRCTACCTGAGAGGCACTACTAGCCCCTCCCCCATTAGAGTGTCGGAGCAGGACGAGTCAGTGCAACGTCAATCAAATGAGAGAGGGGGTGGGGGGTGATTGATGCATTGTGGGGGGAGAGTAGTTTATTTTTCCTGTAATACTTCATTATAGTTTTTTAAGACAAAGCTAAATGAAAGGGGCGCTGAGCAGAGTTACAACCAGGGATTACAAATAATTGATTTTTTTCTTCTGCAGTTCGGTGCCCCCTCCAGCAGATGGCGCACTAGGCGACCGCCTAGTTCGCCTATGCCAAGAGCCGGCACTCAAAGCACACAACCCAGTCAAATAAGGCACTTGGAGCAACAAACACACATATATGAATATATTACTTGAAGTCGCTCACTTGAAACTAAATTACAGACACTTAACACATCACACATTCGGTTATTTAGCCAAGGCCTCCAGCATGATCAGAGGAAATAACAAGGGCGATGAGGAAAAGTAAAGAGGTTCCAGAAACTAAAGATGTCTTGAGATGTGGTCGTTCAGAGGAGAGTCTTTGAACCTAACATTATGTGGGAGAAGATGCTTGAATTAAAAACATCTTAGAACAGAGAAGCAGTAAAAAAAAGGAAGACATGCAACAATGGCAAGAAAATACAATCAGGAAAAAAATAGTTATAATTTCTTCCAGGAAAAGAAAATCCATTCAGAGACAGAAAACCAAATGAGAAAACACAAACTGAGAAGACGAGCTTACGATGTGAGATGTCGTCCACGGCAATTAAAAAAAAAAGGTTAGTGAAACCCCATAGTTGTAACTTTGGACAGTATTTGCTAAATATTTGATTCAACTATAAAAGCCAGACTGAAAACACTGTGGGCTGTTTGGTTTATATGAATCAGAAACATGTTTTGTCACACAGACGTCATCATGTCATTTATGCCGCGAAGCATTCTGGATAAATGATGACTCCGGTGCTCCAGTGCACGCTCGATCTCGACATTAATTTTGTATAATATCTGACATTCAGCCTTTTTAAATGAAACCAGAGAGCGTTGACAGAGAGGAGAAGGTAGAAATGACTCAACCTGAAACTGAAAATGATGATGGACAACAGAGCTGCTTCATGAAAGGATCATATTTTATGCTAACTCTTCAGCTATACTGTATACTGTATATAATAGTCGCTGGCACAGTTCCCCTAAAACACTAATAGGGGAACTAATTTCTTGATTAGTGCTTTAGGGCTTTTGCTATTTTTAAAATTCATTAGGGGATTAACACTTGCTAAATTAAGAAGCACTAACTGAGGTCTTTTATTGATCAACATTAGTGTTAACAGTTGAGGGTGAAAGCTGTCATTTTGTTCATATGTGTGTCACTTATCCACTAGGTCACATGTGTCAACCTCAAGGCCCGTGGGCCAAATGTGGTCTGCGGGTGACTCCCATTTGGCCCTCCAAGAGCACTTAGTGACAATATTCTGCACACAGTAAATATTGTCTCATGTTGACTGAAGATTGTTTCATGTGTCAGCTGGATTACACTCACCGGCCACTTTATTAGGTACACCACACTAGTAACGG